TGTGTGTGTGTGTGTGTGTGTGTGTCTGTGTGTGTGTGTGTGTGTGTGTGTGTGTGTGTGAAGGTGTGCAAACCAGTGTTCAGTGGACATTCATATTAAACATTGTAATCCATAGATATGTACAACCAGCGTGTGTGTGTCACATTTATCTTTAATAGTTCATTCAAAGTAGTTTTACTGATAAAGGCAATGCATACCAAGCTATAACAAAAAAGTCCACACTGTATACCTGTGGTACAATTATAGGGATGATGTATGGATTTCATTCAGTACAAGGAGGATTAAGGATCTATAAATTCACTTTAAGTTCCACAACTAAAAAAATCCTACACGTTGTAAAACGTAGGAAAATATAATCTGTTTCAACGCAAGATGCCTTCAACCAGCTGCAGCTCTGAGGATCTTATTTAAGGTCATTATTTCCACTTAAAGGAGTTTTTTAAGAAAGCACAAAAGAAATATCCTAATAGCTCTGGTTTGGATGTGTGCTGTTGTGTGTGCTGCTGTGTGTGCTGTTGTGTGTGCTGTTGTGTGTACTGCTGTGTGTGTGTGCCTGCATGAATCTCTGCTAATAGCCCTGCTGTGAGTCTATAAGGTTGAAATACCACAGTGTAAATCGTTGACATTAAATCCATTTTATGTTGCGGGCTGACCCGGAAAAACAAAATTACGACTACACTTGCTCTCTCGCTAATTGGAATTAGACTGCAGATGCATTTATTTACTGGATATAAAAAAGTAAGCTCCAGATTCGAGCTACGATCAAGGTCTCATCTCCCCTATTCATTATTACACTAATCAATGCTCTGCAAATCCTCCGTTATCGGACATACGGTGCACAAGCAACAACAACAGGGGGGCGTGTGGCGTAGTAGACTAGTGCGTTGGTGTTCGGATCAGGGGGAGCACAGGTTCAAACCCCACTGCAGTCAGCATGTCGTTGTGTCCCTGGGCAAGACACTTCACCCCAAATTGCTCCTGTGGGATTGGCCACAGTATTGAGTATGTAAATCGCTTTGGATAAAAGTGTCTAACAAGTAACATGTAATGTAATGTAACAACAAGCCGAATGGATAAACAAAAACAAATTGGTCTTCAGAAAGATGATTAAGCAAGAAAGAAAGTGATACAAACTAGAAAAGCTACATTTCAAGCTTATTCTTGCATATCAGAAAATTACACTTGACAAATTAAATATAATATGAATTTACAAATAAAACAGGCCATCTCAACTCATCTCTTGTGACGCAGTGGAAAACCTCTCCGTTTCCTTCATAGAGAAACATTTTTACAGTGAACTAAGGGCTGGTCTTTTCAAGCTTGGAACAACACATTTGATTCTAGCAAAATGCAACAAAAAAAAAAGAATTTAAACATCATCATCATTTTTATGACTTCATGAGACTGTTGAGCAAAATTGATAAAAAGCCCTGCAACAATTGAAAGTCACTGGAATAAAAAAAAATCATGTATGTAATCCCGTAAAGCAGTGGACTGTCAGTGCTTCATGCTTTAATGATCAGTTTCAGCACAGCTTCACATTTGCCCCTGACATTTTGTTTCAACATGACACTGGCATGATTTCTGCAGGCTGCTGTCTAACTAGCATGACATGACAAGGATAGACTGGAAATTCTAAAATGGACACACTGCTCCATCAATTCCTTTCAGAACCAGAGAGAAGGCCTCGTCAACTAACACAACCCAAAAGAGCCAAAAGCCATAGTGGCAAAAACCTGGAGCCACCACCGTTCAGTAACCTGTGGCAGGTGCACATATAGAGGAAATACTCACATCACTATAACTGCAGCTAATGTAGCCAGCTAGTATGTGTAATACTCTGGGAGTGAAAATACCCCTATTTTTTTGTTCATATAACGATTGAGATTCAGACATTAAACACATCCTGTAACCACAAAATAAATGTGTCTGATCCTTCATTGCTCATGGAAATGGTTGTGAAAGTAGAGGTGTATCATGTGACATTATTACTCACCGAGGCCGGGGGGGATCTCGGGGCAGGGCGGCAGAGGTTTGGGCAAAGGTGTCTGATTGGTCTCAGGCTGCACAGTGGGCACCAGCTGCTCCCCTGGGGCCAGGTAGCTGGCTAATGTGGCATTAGGCCTGGAAAGGTTGTAATAGTAATAATGGTGTCCGCTCCCTGCTGCCCCGCTGACGTTATTCCTGGATCCGTTGCGGCCGTTGTTAAAGCGGCTGAAGAGGTCGAAGCGCTGCGAGTAGACGTCAAAGTAGAGTATCATCATGATGAGGAAGTGGAGCAGGCAGAGCAGCAGGACCCCCTTACAGATGCGCTCCAGGGTCCGGCCCAACATCAGCCGGGTCATGGCCGAGGAAGATGACCGCCAGCCTCGACAGCGCTGGCGCGGGGCGGCTACAGACATGAGCTCATCTCAGTGGCTGCTATTAGATCTCTGATGAAGACATGTGGTTAGGTGATACCCGGTTATCTGACTTCTGCAGGGGTCATGGGGACATTAATAAGTTGTTAATGAGTTGCCAGCTTATTTCTAGAACGTCCCCAGATCCCCTGCATGACACACACACCGAATGTTGAATCAGAATCAATCCCTGAGTGAGATTATCTAGGAATTTGTTCACTTACGTATCAGATTTAGATATACCAAATCAATGCTAATGACAAGTTCAGTAACATCTGAGACACAAGGCCCCGATTTCTGATAAATCTTGTGATCAGATCCTGGGTCAGTCACTATCCCAGTGCGAAGTTGCTGCGGCAGCCATGTTGTGTCCCAATGTTAAAAGCCAGTCCAATTACTCCAACGACTAAAGCTTAACACTTCCAATTGATAAGCGATCTAAGTGATCTAAGTGATGGTGCACAAGTAGAAGTTGATGACAAACATTCATCGGTGTGGAGAAGAGGGTCTGCTGAAGTTCAGTCCAGATGACCTCTTCTGAGTTTGTTGGTTGGTGATCTCCAAGATACCATTCCTGATTCTGAAAGTCTCTAACCAGGAACGTTTCAGGCACCTGAAGGGAAATAAAAGACAAAGGAAAGAATGAATTAGGATGAAATGTTAAATTTAAATAAACAAATTCATCAAAGGTTTAACTAATAAGGATGGCAGTGTACAGCTAAACCAATGCAGGTGAAGTTGGACATTTTCACTGATTACAGCTACGTATTGCATAATTTGCTTTTTGGAATCCAATCGTTGATCTTCTCCTGGGATTTTAAGAGCATGTATTGACCTTCTTCCTAATAATTCTGGTTTAAGATACTGTAGATTACAAAGACTGAGGCTGGAGAAGGTTGTCCTCCAATCCAAAAATGGGTGGTTCGATCTCCAGTCCCTGCAGTCAACATGTCGATGTGTCCTTGGACAAGTTACCAATCCCAAAATAGCTCCTGATGGTGTTATGGCAGATTCCGTATATAACGTATGTTTCGTTATTCATTAAGGTCACACAGGAAAAAGGGGCCCGATGCTTAGGTTAAAACTATGTGTATATATTTAGTCTCAACAGTTGTACCATGACATCTGGGATCATGTAAAACTCAGAGGATGCAACATATATGACTGTATAAGGTTTGAACATCTCTGCCACGTATGCTGTTTCAAGTGTATGTTCGTGTGTGTTTTACATGTATAAAGCACATGAGATCTTTCTGGTCTGGGGGGCATTTCCACGATTGACTGCTGTGGCAGGTGATGTTGTACTCCAAGATTATTATTGTTGTTGCGCAACTGAGTAATAATTAATCTCAACCATGTCTGTGTTTGTGTTTTATTGATCTCTCTCTGAGTTAACATTTAAGGTTCGTGAGCCATTAATTGCACTAACAATGGCATGGCCAATCGTGTGCAGGTGTGTGTGAATGTTAGTTTCCATGACAGCACTGGCCACTGTATGATTGGTTTGAATGTTGACTTAACAACACTTTGAGGGGTCACAAAGACTGGAGACGAGCTATATATAAATGCAGTTCATTTACCATTTAGAAGTGCACTCTTGGTAAAGACGTAAACATGAGGAGAATTTCAAAGAAACAGAACCAAACAATAAAAGCATCGACAGACGCTGGTATATAAACAGCTCTGACTGGGGCTGTTCAGCCGAATTGACATGCCAAGTCAATTTTCCAGTCAAGTGGTTTAAAAAGCATTTATGATGGAATAAGACAGCAAGTGGGAATACACAAAGCAGTGAACACACAAGCAAAGGAGAGAAACGGGAGGCACTTAAAGCTTTCCCACAGGCGACGCTTGTTCTGGCTTTATGGCTTTTCCAATCAATGAGAGAATATAGGAAGATGAGGTTGAAGTAGACCGAGTAGTGTCAGAGAGAAAGACATGGATGTAGTGGTGAATGTTAATATACTAATGCTGGAAAATAATGGTGTCTAATGCATGTTTCAGCTCAACATTTCCCAAGTGGTATCCCATCAATATTTTACATTAAAAAAAAAAAACGTTTTTTTTTTTTTTTTAAATTGTATTCTCTGACTTTTTTGTAAATCACCATGAAGGCCTTGACAAAAACTTTCTATAAAATGCAAAGACAGGGCGAGTATGATATATATATAGCTTTTGTTATATATAACAAAAGCTTACTAGACAATTTTACAGCTGGTTTTATTTAGAGAACTATGGTTTATTTAGTTTACTGACCACCAGTAAGTATCTATTTAACTATAGTATGAACATGGTACTCAAAATGTGGTATATTCGCCAAAGTGCTATATTGTATATACAAGTCTGACGGCTATTGCCTTCTCCACAAAGTTGGCTGCATGTGAAGCTCTTTAATGAGATGGATTTCTTCTGAGCGGACATCCGTCTCAGCGTAATGCTTATGCAGGTCAGGATTTGTTCCCCAGCCGTGCTGCTCTTCAGTGAATAAACAGGCTGGCATGTAATATATCAGGGGGGAAATCATGACATGTAGCGAGGCGGTCGGACAGATAATCAGTCAGACTGACAGAAAAGTCTTGCCCCATTTTCTGCTTCAACTACAGAGCTCAAGAGTCAAGCTTGTTGCCCTCGGTGCCCAACAGGTGTTAAACCATGTGATAGTGCAGAGTGGCACTGCTAAAAATCAGCAGCAGAGAAACAGAAAGAATAAAATCCGGAGCCGGGATTGACATCCTACTTTTCAGCGGCACAGGACTTATCAGAGATCAATGTAGTTAAAATCAGAAGTCAGTGTTTTTTCTCTGATGTGAAGTATTAGAACGAAGCCCTTAAAGACTTAATCCATACACACCTTAGCTTCTTAGTTTGCAGACATTTTGCTTGACTGAATTCTCTCAACGCAACAAGTTCTATCTGATTTGTTGTCTTGAGAAAGGTCAGCAGACCAAAACAAAAAGCAATACAAAGAAAATATTTTGTCTTTTCCTTCTTGTGGTTACTTCCTGTCTCTCTGTCGGACATGTCACTGGGATTGTGAACAAGGAAGTGCAGATTGTTTACTTCCAAAAAAAGAAATCAAGTCAAGAATTAGTCGATGAGGTCTTTGAGGGTTGTAAGTCATGGAGAAAAATACCAAGAAATTTGAAAAGAAAATACATAGATGGTCTCAGAGTGAAACAGATCCATTATGTAACCAGGTTCATTCAAGGATCCCTGGAAATCTCTTTTTAACAAGAGTGATATATTTCATAACATTGCCAAATCATATCATGTTCGTCGAGGAACCCACGGATAATTCAATGAAAATATCTGAAGCAGAATAAAACCGCCCTTTTCCATCTCTATTAGATTTCAACTGAGTTTTAAAATGAGCGGAACAAAGACTAGATAGCCTAGAAGACAACACAGGAAAAGGGTAACAGAAAATCAAAGAGACATTATAAACAAAAGAATAATCGAGCTAGCGGTAGAATAAAGTGTAAAGGAACAACTTCAATACATTTAAGGGCAACGCTGATATATCATCAGAGGTATTCCCCAAAGCTTTGTCATTTGTAAAGATTTCAGTGTTGCCTCTTTCACTATGTGAGGCCTAGAGATTTTAGCCTCTGTCACATTGGTTAACAACCGTGCAATAACTCACTGTTCAATGAGCTGTGGATTATTAATTACAATACTGCAAAGGAGATTTTGAGGATGTAGACAAAATGAGCTGGTGGGATCAAGAGCTGTGAGCTACACCTCAACAAGGTTAGTGTTTATTACCAATTTGAAAAAAGCTATTACAAATTAATTAAATCTGAATTCAAACGATTCACATCAAAACTTTTAGGGCTAATAAATGATATTGGTCAGAGTCATGGATCTCAATATGTGAGACGGCTTAGCTAACAGCTAACTGCAGTGGAAAGAGAATACTTTCTCTACTTTTATCCATGTATTTTTTCTTTTAATGTTTCTTTTATTATCTTTTCTTTTTAATGACTGATTTTAAATGCCATTTTCTTAATGTCTTTCATTTTTTGTAAGGCACTTTGAATTGCCTTGTGTTGAAAGGTGCTATATAAATAAACTTGCCTTGCCTGCCTTGCCTTAGATTCAAGTTCAAGGTAAACATCAATATACCAAATATTGGAACAGAGGTTGTCAAAGTGCAATTAAGATCAATAATATATTTGTATATACATATTAGACTAATATACAAATGCAGTCTCCCTCTTCCACCCCTCTGGCACACACACACCCAAGTATGCACACACACACACACACACACACAAACATAGAAGTGTTGCATTACAATCACCAATTCACATTTTTTGAATATTTTTTTATTATTGCATTAAATCCTTATTTAATTGGGCAGTGTAATGAGATGAGTCTCTCGTTTTCTAGAGAAAAACCTGTTTGCCATCAAATACAATTTTATTTATTTTAACAGCGTTTCAAAATAAACACTTTATTTGCTGAAGGAACAATATACTTAAACCTGGCTTTTTTGAGTTATCTATGAGTATTGTTCAGTAGAAACACGAGTCACTGTATATTTAATCTGGCTGTTCTCTTCTCTTATGCATGCTCCCCGTGAAATTGAAAAGACAGTTGCTCTCACATGTTGGCAGGGAAAGAAAACTTCCATCAAGGCTGAACCAAAACATTCAGCAGAACCAAAACATAAATTAGGCAAATACCTCAAATATAAAAGTATCCTCATTCAACGATTCGTAAGAGAAAAAGCCTGAAAGTATTTACAGAGGTGCAATCATATTTTGAAGGCAGGTAATTTCTCTAATACATGGATTTCTCACAATATATGTGTGTGACTAATACAAGACATGTAGTTCCATGTTTGCATCACCACAGATCACTATCAAACCCAGAATGTTTTCATTCGTTTTTAGCAACATTGTTACAACCCAACTTTAACCTCTCTAGATGAACATTGTTTCAGAACAAATTAAAATGAAAACAATCTGAGAATGCATAAGAAACATACAAATGATGGCATTAAAAAGCAGCCTACATGTCCTGAGAATAACATGACTTCTAGCGACTGTGCTTAAAGCCTAGAAATAAAATGGCTGAAAAAACAAAATTGGGTTTAAAGGTTAGGCTTTAATTTACTCAAACATCTGTAATTAAATCTGTATTAAAAACAATGAGTCATTTGCATTATTTACTAAATAACTAATAGTTAAACATGATATGGTGACTCTGCGTGTCCCCACTATCAGAACCTATTACCTCGTTCCTTTTCCAGATCCTCAAATTTCACAAGAAAAGGGTTCCGTGGTGTTTTCAGTTTCCTTGGTGTGGTAGCCCCTGCTGTGGAGGGTCCTAGGACTGGTGACATTTGGAGAAAAGTGACACCTCACTTGGGGTATTTGACAAACTGACACTCAGCGAAACAAGAGTGTCAAACTCAGCTTGTCAAATACACTAAGTGGGGGGCCTGATCCGGGGAAGACTGGCTCTGTGGAGTAAATAACCTGCAGCAAACAAACATTAAAGAAGTAAAAAAGCATGTTTATATTTTACACAAAGCTCTAATGTCTTTTAGAGAGAAGATTCAGATGTGTTACCTGAGTGTTTGAAGCAGAAGAGTCCGTGTGCTT